GTGGTTATCTTCTTTTGGGTTTGTTGGAAGGGGATCATTTTCTTGCTCTTTCAAGGGTATAATTGCCCTCCTTGTATTGGAGCTTTCCTGCTATTATCCTTTGTAGTGCTGGGTTTGTGGAAAGATACTGTGTAAATTTGGTTTTGTCATGGAATATCTTGGTTTCTCCATCTATGGCAATTGAGAGTTTTGCTGGGTATAGTACCCTAGGCTGGCATTTATGTTCTCTTAGAGTCTGTATGACATCTGCCCAGGATCTTCTGGCTTTTATAGTATCTGGTGAGAAGTCAGGTATAATTCTGATAGGTTTGCCTTTATATGTTACTTGGCCTTTTTCCCTTACTGCTTTTAAAATTCTTTCTTTGTTTTGTGCATTTTGTATTTTGATTATTATGTAACGGGAGGTATTTCTTTTCTGATCTAGTCCATTTGGCGTTCTGTAGGCTTCTTGTATGATTATGTGCATCTCATTCCTTAGGTTAGGGAAGTTTTCTTCTATAATTTTGTTGAAGATATTTATTGGCCCTTTAATTTGGGAATCTTCACTCTCTTCTATACCTATTATCATTAGGTTTGGTCTTCTTATTGTGTCCTGGATTTCCTGGATGCTTTGTGTTAAGAACTTTTTGCACTTTGTGTTTTCTTTGACAGTTGTGTCAATATTTTCTATGGTATCTTTTGCACCTGAGATTCTTTCTTCTATCTCTTGTATTCTGTTGGTGATGCTTATGTCTATGACTCCTGATTTCTTTTCTAGGTTTTCTATCTCCAGGGTAATCTCCTTTTGTGATTTCTTTATTGTTTCTACTTCCATTTTTTATGTCCTGGATGATTTTATTCAATTCCTTCACCTGTTTGTTTGTGTTTTCTTGTAATTCTTTAAAGGATTTTTGCGTTTCCTCTTTACTTGTGTTCTCCTCAAATTCTTTGAGAATGTTCTTCATGTCCTTCTTAAAGTCCTCTATCATCATCGTTAGAATTGATTTTAGATCTAGTTCTTGCTTTCCTGGTGATGTGGGGAGTTCAGGACTTTCTAACGTGGGGCAACTAGGTTCTGATGATGGCAAGTACCTTGGGTTGCTGATGCTTATGTTCTTGCACTTGCCTTTCGCCATCTGGATCTCTTTTGTGCTATCTGCGCTGTCTCTGACTGGAACCTGTCTTTCCTATTATCTAGATTGTGTCAGAACTGTTTGGGATGTGTTTTGCTTCTGGGGTTAGAGCTGAGGCCCAAGATCTGCTCAGTGCTCAGGTGGAGACTGGAAGGATCCCATGCTCTGGGCCAGAGTGAATTTCTGGGTTCCAGTGGGTCCCGGTTACTCCCTGTTTGGGGCAAGTGTTGGCACCTCCTTGCTTAGGGTACTGCTCAGATTAGAGTTCCTGGGAGCCCCGCTTCCTCTGAGTTCTGTGAGATTGGGTACAGAGCTGTCTCCAACGGGATCTGCTGGGCGCTCCGGCCCAGACTGGAAGGAACCCGTGCTCGGGGCCAGGAGAGAATTCCTGGGTCCCAGTGGGTCTGGGTTACTCCCTCTTTAGGGCAAGTGTTGTTGCCTCCTTGCCAAAGAAACTGCTCTACTGCTTGGGTTAGAGCTCCTGGGAGCCCTGCTTCCTCTGGGTTCTATGAGATTAGGTGCAGTGCTGACTCCTGGGATCTGCTGAGCGCTCGAGCCCAGAAGGAACCAGTGCTCCGGGCCAGGAGTGAATTCCTGGGTGCCAATGGGTCCCAGTTAACCCCTGTTTGGGGTGGGTGTTGCTGTCTCCTTACCTGAGATACTGCCCGAGTTAAAGCTCCTGAGAAGCCCTCTTCCTCTGGGTTTTGTGAGGTTGGGTGCAGAGCTGCCACCTGAGATCAGCTCTATGCTCGGGGCCCAGATCGGAAGTCCTCGACTTCTTAATTGGAAAATATTTTATGTTTAATTTCTATATCATTGGAGTATATTTATTGTACAGTGGATTGGGCTTTCTTGTGACATTTTAAAATGTTTAAAGTTATTTTATATTCGTTTGTGTGTGTGTGTGTACTTGTACATATGTGTGTGAGTGTTCACAGAGGCCAGAAGAGGGTACAGGATCCCTTGGAGCTGTAGTTACTGGTATTTATGAACTGAGACCCAAACTTCATTCCTCTGCAAGAACGAAAAGTCTTATTTGTGGAGCCTTCTCTTCAGTTCCTATAATGTCTTGTTATGTGTCTACAGTTAAAAATCTATTATCAGTATTGATAGGTGATACTCATGTGTCTGAATTTGTCTTCGTTTAACATGATGATTTCCAGCTTCATCTGCTTTTCCGAAAATGGTATAATGATATAATTTTATTCTTCTTTATGGTTGAACCAAACTTCATTCTCTCACTCTCTCTGTCTCTCCATCTCTCTGTCTCTCCGTCTCTGTCCCCATCTCCCTCTTCCTCTCCCTCTCCCCCCTCTGCATCACACATAGTTTTAGTGTTTGGAGTCTTGTGTTTGAGAGACTTGTATATATGTGTCTGTATATGCTTGTGCCTAAATGACCCATGGAGGCCAGAGGAGGATGTTAGAGGTCCTACTCTATTCCTCTGCTGTCTTGGCTAGTCTGTAGGGCCAGTGAGCATTGGTATCTGCTTGTCTCTGTTTCCTAACAATGGGTTATAGGCTCCTATGGCCATGGCTAACATGTTCTAAAATGTGACTGCTGCAGATTCAAACTCAGGTTCTCATGCTTGAATCTTACTTTCTGAGCCATCTCCCCAGCAGAGTGTTGTGATCTGTGAATGTTTTATGTTTCTTCATTCCTTCAAATTTTCATTGATTTATTTTATGAGCATTTTAATTGATTTTGTTAAATTCATCCCTAAAGTATTTTGTTTTCTTTGGAATGATTGTGAAAGGCTTTGTGCATTTAATGTGGTTTTTCATATTTTTCACATACTTTACTAGTGTGCCTGAATTTTTGTGAATTGACTCATTTGTAAGCTCCAGATGTTTGCTTGCTCATGTACTTTATGAATTATCTAACTTGATACTATCTTTCTGATCTACATATTTTTATTTTATTTTTTCTTAGCTTACTGTGCTTGCTGTGGGCTCCAGTACAATGTAGAACTTTACTTTAAAAGCATATAAACTTTAACCTTCCACAATTGGGCACAGTTTTTTTTATTAAAGATTTTATAAATTTATTTACAGTCTACCCATTGTTCCCTTCCTGGTCCCCCTCCCACAGTTCCTCATCCCATTCCTCCTCCCCCTGTCCCTAAGAAGATGCTCCCCCCAACAGGCCTCCCCACTCTGTGAAGCCTCAAACCTCTTGAGGGTTAGGCACATCTTCTTTCACCAAGGCCAGACCAGGCAGTCCTCTGCTATATATGTGTCCGGGGCCTCAGAACAGCTTGTGTATGCTGCCTGGTTGGTGGCTTAGTCTCTGGAAGCTCCCAGGGTCCAGATTTGTTGAGACTGTTGGTCTTCCTATGAGGTGACCATCCTCCTCAGCTTCTTCCATCCTTCCCCTAATTCAACCACAGGGGTCCCAGACTTTAGTTCAATGGTTGAGTGTATCTGCTTCTGTCTCAGTCAACTGTTGGTTAGGCCTCTCAGAGGATAGCCCTGCTAGGCTCCTGTCTGTAAGCATATCATAGCATCAGTAATAGTGTTAGGGCTTGGTGTCTTCCATGAGGTGGATCCCCACTTGGGTGGGTAACTGGACTGCCTTTCCCTCAGTCTCTTCTCATTTTTTGGCCCTGCAATTCTTTTAAAAGACAGGAACAATTCTGGGTCAGAGTTTTTGACTGTGGATTGGTAACACCATCCCTCCTACTGAGGCTCTATCTGTCTACTGGAAGTAGACCCTTCAAGTTCCCTCTCCCCACTGTCAGGTGTTTCATCTAAGGTCCCTCTCTTTGAGTCCTGAGAATCTCTCACCTCACAGGTCTCTGGTACTCTCTAGAGGGTCTCCCTACCTCTCACACCCAGATGCCTCCCTCCCTCAGCCTCACATGATTATTTTCTTTTCCCTACTAAGTGGGATTGAAGTATCCTCACTTGGCCTTTGTTCTTGTTAAATTCTTAACATTTGTAGTTGTATCTTAGATATTCTGTACTTTTTGGCTAATATTCACTTATTAGTGAGTACATACCATGTATGTCCTTTGGGGTCTGGGTTACCTAACCCAGGATGATATTTTCTAGTTCCATCCATTTGCCTTCAAAATTCATGATATCCTCATTTTAAATAGCTCAATAGTATTCCATTGTGTAAATGAAGCACATTTTTCTGTATCTATTCTTCCATTAAGGGACATCTGTGTTGTTTCCAGCTTTTGGCTATCACAAATAAGGTTGCTATGAACATCGTGGAGCATGTGTCCCTCTGGTATGGTGGGGAATCTTTTAGGTATATGCCTATGAGTGGTATAGCTGGATCTTCACGTAGGTCTATTTCCAGCTTTCTGAGGAACTGCCAGATTGATTTCCAGAATGTTTGTACCAGTTTGCAATTCCACTGGCAATTAAGGAATGTTTCTCTTTCTCCACATCCTCAACAGCATATGCTGTCCCTTGAGTTTTTTTTAATTTTATTTTAGCCATTCTGATTGGTGTAAAGTGGAATTTCAGGGTCATTTTGATTTACACGTCCCTCCCTGATGACTAAGGGCTTTGAACAATTTTAACTGCTGCTCCTAAGTTTTTGTGACTTTCTGTGTAACACATACACTAAAAATTTTTCATTCAATCTGTTAACTGTACATATTAGAGGAGTTAGGCATTATATTGAAATGCACCCATATCTATACATTGATTAACTCAAGCCAACTTTTATCAAACCTCCACAAGTGAACCACCTCCTCTATCTCCAGCCTCCTAGGTAGTGAGTGTTTTGAAACATACAATTTCTGGACCATTTAATGACATTATAATTCTAAATCATTTGTAAGTAAGTCATGCTTTTCAACTTTTTTTTTGTACAACTGTGGAGTTTTCCAAACCTTTATATGGCAACATCTTTTTTTGCTTCGGATTCTAGAACTTTGGTCCAGTGGGGATTTTGAAAAAAGCCATCTCTATCTCTGAGAATGAAGAATGGAAGAGAATACGAGCCCTGCTGTCTCCAACCTTCACCAGTGGGAAGCTCAAGGAGGTAATGAAGTAATAAGCTTTTTGTTAGAAATATGAACAACAGATTTTGGGACAGGTAAGGTGGATGATCATAGCCCCTTTACAAGCAGTGTCCTCTGAGTTGAAACTTTCTAACAATGGCCTTGTGTGTTAATTTGACTTGTCGCTTTTTCCTTGGGAAAGCTGTGTCCACTGAGAATTGAGTCCCTCACTCACTAAGCATGGATTTTGTTTTGTGTGCAGATGTTCCCCATCATTAACCAGTATACAGATGTGTTGGTGAGAAACATGAAGCAGGGATTAGAGGAAGGCAAGCCCACCATCATGAAAGAGTAAGTACTAGCACAGTCATTGGGTGTTGGGTTGTTGTGTTAGTTACTTTCCTGTTGCTGTGACAAACTACTCTAACAAAAGCAACTGAAGGAAGAAATGTTTCATTTTGGCTATGGTTCCAGGGAGATACAGTCCATCATGGCAGGAAGATTTGGTGGCAGGACCAGGAGGCTACCTGATCACACTGCATCTATAATCAGAAGGAAGGCTATATCAAGACCTGACCAAAGTGACTTGCTTCCAATGAGTCTCTACCTCTAAAAGTTGCCACACTTTCCCCAGACAGTGGTACAGCTTGGGACTAAGTGTTCAAGCATACAATCCTCTGGTGGCATATGTACATTCAAATCCTAACAGTAGTGCTAGGAGACTCCATTACTACCTACTGGGAAGTTGAAGTTCCCATTGTTAAGTCATTAATTGAAGTTACTTCAGGACTAGTTAAAAATGGGTTGTGTCATGTTACCACCAATTACAGCAGCTCAGACTATGACTGGAGTTGAGATCAAAGGAAACTGGAGACATCCCTGTAGCAGCATTACGACTGTAATGGGACACTCTGGAAAGGAGTGTCTCCTATGAGAAAGTAGGGTGCCCAGTAGAGAATGAGTCTCACCTCTGTATTCAGGATTTATTATTAACTTGTCTATTCCATTATAATTGTTGAAATTCTAGAAAAAAGATAGTTTAGAAAAAAAGGAATATTATCTAAACACAGTTGTTAGTGTGGCTTCAGTAGAAAAGAGTGGAGAAAGCACTCAGCACATATTAGGATGCTGTGTATATAACAGGAAAGTTAAAACATCAAACCACTTATATTCCGTTATGGACTTTTTGAGACTATCAGTGAAATAGAAAATATTTCTTTGGGCTGTCAAGATAGTTTTGTGGGTTAGGGTACCTGACACTTGAGTTAGATCTCTGAGAGTGGGAGAGAATTGACATCCACAGTGAAGAACAAAATAAAATGGGTACATACATGCTTAGTATTTAGCTTATATTTCTCACACTTACACAGTGCAGAACCAAACCCAGGGAATGCTCCCACCCATAGTGGAGGATTGTGTCTTTCCACATCAATTAGCACAATGAAAGCAACCCCTTCATAGGCCTGTCCAATTGTAGAAACAATTCCTCTTCCCTGGTGGCTGTAGATTATGTCATTTTTATAATCAAAACTAACAGTCATAGATAATATCCATGTCATCCCACATCAGAAAGATAGGCACAACACTGTCACCTGACAAACATCTCACAACTGAGTGTTACAGAAGCAAGGACAGGATTTCTGTATGACATTCTGACTGTCTTAGCTGGACATGTGAATTTACTCCTGCTTCACACTTTATATATCTTAGCTGGACTAAGAAGATGTTTAATTGTTACTTTCCATCTCTCTTCAGCATCTTTGGGGCCTACAGCATGGATGTGATCACAGCCACCTCATTTGGAGTAAACGTTGATTCCCTCAACAATCCACAGGATCCTTTTGTGGAAAAAATCAAGAAGCTCTTAAAAATTAATCTTTTTGACCCACTGTTCCTCTCAGTGAGTACGTAACCTAAAGTTTCATTCTTTCTGTCTTTTTAAGCAACAGTGTAGTAAAAGATAACCCACATGTGTTGTCAGTAGCCCACTTAAACAGGCAAGTATTTGGTTTTTGAGTATATTTAAAGTATTTCCAGACATCACTGTTGTCAGCTGTGGAACATCTTTGTCATCCTAGAAACTCTACTTTTAATGACCAATTCCTTACCTTCATCATCCATAAGCAACAAATAAGTCTACTTTATAACTGTATATTTGGCTATTTTTGACACTTTATATGAATAAAATTGTATGATCTGTCATCTTTTGTGTCTAGCTTCAAAATTAGTATGATTTAAAAGTTCATGCATCTTGAAATGTGTATTAGTACTTAATTTTTTCTATGGCAGAATCTCATCCCATTGTAAGGACATGAAAATTTCTATTTATTTGTGACTGGTGGATATTTGGAATGTTTTGACTTTTTGGTTGTTGGGGACAGTGCTGCTATGAACTCTTGTATACACGTTTGTGTCTGAACATTTTTTGAGTTGTTTTGGATGTATACTTGAGAAGTGGTGAGTTGTATAGTAATGCCTAATATAGAGTGTTGAAGGAACTGTGTTTTGTCACAGAAGGATGTTGGTTTTTTTAAAGGATTGTTTTTATTTGTTTGTCTGCTTTGCTAATTTTTAATATGTATTGATATGCTCAGTTGTATAGTAGGATGTCCTTGAGTTAAATTCTACCTTGTTAGAGTTAATATAGCTCTTTTATAGTCACTTGGTTCAGTATACTAATATTGTGTTGAAAAAATCTTCTTTCTGTGTATTTGTAAGTATTGTTTATTTGTAGTTTCCATGTGAGATTTCTGTCTGGTCTTAATATTAGCGGCACTACTTGTCTTATGGAGAATTTTGAAGATACTTTCATGTCTTTCTATATTTTGGAAGTGTTTGGGAAGAAAAGGTATATGCTTTACTTTACATATTTGGTAAGAATCAGCATTGAAATCTTCTGGTCTTAGGCTTTCCTTGTGGCAGCATGTTTTTTAAACGAGGGATACTTTTAATTCTGTACATAAGGCAAGGTAGGAGGAAGTAAAGGGTCAATATGACCCAGGAACACATTTATAAGATAATTTCCTTTTATCATAGTTCTCCATTTACCGTAGATTGTGAGAGATGCTGGAGTCTTTGTGTATTTGCTGTGCAACATACAACATCTCATGCCACAGGTCTATTATGCATGGTATGCATTTCTTTTTTGAGTCAGCTTCTATGGCTTGTGAACTTCTAGGAATCTGTACATTCTAGCTAAGTTACATAGTTGAAGCTATTGTTCTAGCCCTCCATCTATTAATAGAATTCCTTTATATGCCCTTAAGTTTTTCATAACGTTATTCCCCTCCCACTTGACTATATGTGCTAGTAATCTGAGTCATCAGTTTTTCTGGAACAATTCCAGCTAACACTTTGGTAACTCTGAAGATATTTTCACAGAAGCATCTTTATTTTCATTGATTTATTCAAGCTTTTTATTGCATTAGTTTTCACTTTGTTTGTTAGTATCTAGTTTCTCTGCCTGAATTGTGTTTTCTCTTTTCTTTTAGTGGCACATGCTAGAAAGGGTTATCATATGAGACTAACTTTTTTTCAACAGTCATAAACTCTCTTTGAGTATTGTTTTGCCTTCATCTTACAAAAAACCTATTTGTGTGTGTGTTTGTGTGTTTGGTTAAAGTTATTGTCATCATCACCATCGTTATTATTTCTTTGTGTATATATTCATCTGTGGGTAGGTATTTGTATATATGGGTGCACATAAGTATATAGAAGTAAACCTAAGAAGAAAACCTCAGGTGTCTGCATGAGGCTCTCTCACTGGCCTGGAACTTCACCAGGTAGACTGACCTAAGTGGCCATCAAGCTTACAGAATTCCTTCTCTCTACCTCTCATGGTGCCATTCTGAGCCACTACACTAGCCCTTAACATAGATTGTAGGAAATGAACACAGATTCTCATATTTGAAAGGCAAACACATTACCCATTGAGCCATTTCTCCATTCCTAAAAGCACCTTGATTATGTATAGCACTGGGCTAAATCCTGATTTTTCAAAAAACCAAACCAAGCCAAACCAACAACGAAAGCCACAACCCCCAGTCCCCCTTAGTCCAACATGAAAAAAAATGAGATGTAAAGAATTTAACCCTGAAACTATGTAGCAAGAATGATTTATACCACTTCTGTGTTGATGGCCATACATTGACATTCACTTTTCCAGCAAGTGGTCTGGAACCTGGGCAAGAGGGAATGTGTCTCGGTGGGGATCCTGATGACTTACTGTTCTGCTTGGCAGAATGTTTATAACTTCTCCAGATAGATTTTTTTTTGTATTTTCACCATGGTTTCTCTTTTTTCTCCCTCTAGCACTTTTTCCATTCCTTACCCCATTATTTGAAGCACTAAATGTCTCTTTGTTTCCAAGAGATGTCATAAACTTTTTTAAAACTTCAGTAGAACGAATGAAAGAGAATCGCATGAAAGATAAAGAAAAGGTAATAACTGATCACATGAAGACTAATGTGTTTCCAATTCTCTTTATGAGACAAATATGCATCTACACACACACACACACACACACACACACACACACACAGAGACACACACACTTTCTCTGAATCTTTAAAATTTAGATGGAGGATTACAGGTTAAGGATAGGAGAATTTGGATAGTTTGAAGAGTGAAGTGTATAGAGATTGGGAACAGAGAAATTAAATGAGTCAGAGAAAGTATTTAAAATTAAATGATATGCCTGACACAGAATAAATATTTTTAAGGCAAGAATCTCACCACATGCCAGGAAAAAGAGTTTTTTTTGCAAACAATTTGTGGGGAGTAAAGGGAATTATCAAAATTCTATAGATGTCAAAAAATTAAAGTTTGTTATTTTCTCAGTGCTGGGATAAAACCAAGACCCTTGCACATGATTAGCAAATGCGTCATCCTTGAACAATGGTCCAAGTTGCCCTGCATATTGCTTAATCTTATTTTAGATTTTCATATTGAGAACTGTACTAGGTTAGTGTGCTTTTTAAAAAATTTTTATTGTTTTGAGACACAGTCTTGGTATGGAGCCTATGGAGTTGTGATTACAGGCATATGCTAAGAAAACTGGCTGGTCTGAATTAAGTTTGAGCTCCTCATGACCTGGAGAGTCATAGTGCTTCTCAGTAGTCAGACTTTGTTTCATACAGATGGACTAGAGAGTAATGAAGGGGAGCAGGACTGGGTACCCCACTATTGATGAGAATCATAGCATTCTAGCTTGGTGCATAGGACATCTAAAT